TTGCAGAGAAAGGTATTTCTTGTGGACAAAAAAGAATCAGGCCCCTCGCTCCCTACTGAGCCCATTTCTCCTGCCTTTACCGGGGCTGTCAGGCATGAATCTCTGTAGCATTCCGTAACTAATTGACAGTAATGGGGGCCATTGGAAACCTAAGAATACATGGCATTACCCAGCATGCACCGCAAGGAAGGGGGCCGCCTGGGGGCAGCTGTGAGGAAAATAAAGGCTGGCTGCCTTTAAAACTGTTTTCCCTCCTCTTCTTTAAATGGAAGGCAAGATGTAGAAAGAGAGAATAGATTTAGGTAAACTTCTATTTGAGCTTAAAAAATTAAAGATTGTAAATCTTATATCTTACTCTGAGTGAATATCTCAGGATTCTAACCCCCACAGAAGAAACAGATGGAATTTCAATTAACCCCAGGGCCCCCTGTGAAATCTATATTGTACCCTCTGGATTTACAACATATTGTAATATATGACTGCAGGCGCTGGAGAGTCCGTCGCAAATCAACTTTCTTTATTCCAGGGGTTCCTAAAACGGCTACAAAAGCCCACTTCAAAATCAAAAGTGGCAAACTTCCAACCACTTCTTCCTTGGGGTAGACATCCAACTTTAATTCCACAACAGATCTTACTTATTTGCCAGCCTCTTGTTTCTACATTTCTTTTTCTCCCCCCTTTTCTATTAATGATGTTTACAGAATGAAGCGGCTCATACCAGACAGGAAATTGGGAAAACATACAGCATTATCCCACTTTAAACAGTGACTCATCACACACCCATGGTGAATAACCTTCCAAAGGGTTTTCGTACTTTAAATATACATACCTTCAGAGAATGGAGTCATGGAGACTAATGAGTCAGTCCTACCTCTGCTACGAAGGTCACTTAAAATTCTAAATGGTGCAACCATCTGAAGAATTTCAAGTTGTTCTTCAAAACCAGAATTGTTTCTGAGGTGCCCATAAGCTCAGGGCTTTGACTTTCATTCCTATCATTTATTGACCCCAACTGTCTGCATTTCTTCTTTTTTCAAAAATAATATGCATACAATATCAAACACCTCACAAAAATAAATAAATAAATTGAGCTTTTTAAATACTAGACTCACATTTTTATGCCCACTTTTTTTTTTTTCTTAAAACACTGACTTTTCCCTTCACCGGCATTTTGCTTCCTCTGCAAAGATGAGTTTTCCTCATGTAGTATTTGGGCCATTACTCACTAGGGCTGTCACTCCTGTCATCCAGCATCTGCTGGAAGGTTTGCCTCTGAAACCTTTAGGGAGTCTCTCTTGGAAACCAGATAAGCAAGATTCCTGTAGCAGAAACAAAACAAACTCGGTAGGACTAAAGCATGTCTTTTGGAAAGATTACTGATTAAAATATGATGTGGGGTTTCTCCTTCATTCCAAGATAGCCATGAGGAAGTGTGGACGGCGGCTGTCATCAGAACCGGGCTTCTACTGGACTCATAAACATGGCGAGCTGGAAGCAATGTGAAGATCCACCTTTGAGGCAGCTCGCCTGTTCCTGAAGTGTGCTGGGTGTGCCGCACTGACCGGGTGTCTCTCTTCACAGTCTCAGAACTCGGGACTTCTCCTGTCTGTCCTTTTGCTCTGTCAACTCCAGAGACTGCCAGGACCCGCGCCAACCCCCCCCCCCAACACACTCACAACACCTTTGTCCCTTGCCTGTCACTGTCAGTCTGAGTCAGGAGTCCCAGTACCTGCTGAGGACCTCTCTAGAGCATAGAACTTGATATGGTGCAAGGACTTCACAGACTTGGGACAGTCGCTCTTTAGACATGTCTGGAACTTCAGCTCAAAGGCTGGGAGAGGATTTTTGATGAAACAAGTCCTCATATTTCTAGTGAGACTGGTCTTTCCCCTTAAGCTAGTATTTACTAGGAAATGAATATGTTTCCAAGTTCTCTCGTCTTGTACATATTAATACCGGGCCATCAACCACCATCTTGAAGTAATTATTAAGTTTATTTCTTCATCGGAACAAAAACACTGATTTGTTGTTCAACCCAGACGGACATTCTTTCAACCTGTGTCATCCCCACCTTAGACAGCGTTTATTCTGGAAGCAGCAAATAGGTGGCTACTTACGAATGAGATACTGACCAAATGTTACAAGTCCCCGGGTTTGTCGCTTCTTTTTCTCCCCGTTTATGCCTGAGAAAGGCGGAGTTCCTCATGTGTCAGGTGCGGCTCTCCATGGTTTATGTACAGTGACTTCCTAACCATCACACTAATCGGCAGTGTCGTCTTCCTTGACCCACGAGAGACTGTTAATGACATAAACAGAACGGAGTGCATGCTTGCGCCTCACCCTTCGGGGGTGCTAGCCCGGTGACAGGTTTTCTGGTGGCCCGCTCATCCCACAGAACTGAAGTTTATCTTTTGGGCCCGAGTCACTCTTCCTCCAGACAGCCCTGCGCTGTTTGCAACTTCTCATCTGCGGCCCCCTGGCTGCTCTTTGGCAGCTTTAACATCAGTCATCTGTTTTTCTTTTCATTAATCTCATATCCCGGCACTACCAGAAGTTAAGGGAAAACAAGAAGACAGAATGGGAACCATGTGAATTGGAGAAAGGGTGAGAAATGCACTGGATAATTCAATCGAAAACAATTTATTTATTTATTTATTTATTTATTCATTTATTTATTTAATTCTACCCTATCTTTCCCCACGACTCAAACCACAATTGCTTTACTCCCTTCATTGGGCCAAAGGAATTAGACACATTAAACGGACAAGCTTTCTACTAGATCTTTCTCAGGAATCCATTTACTCCTCCCCCTCCTCCCCCCGAAAGTCTCCTCTGTTGGCCTTTCCCACAGGTATCTATTCATTTCTTTGACTTTTTTTTTGGCATTTACATCCGCAGACAGGGCCTTGCTGCCAAGCCCTTGTTTATTATCTTGACTGGGATTTGTTCTCTGCTCATTACCTTCCGGGCATATTAACTACGGAGCCAGGTTCCAAGGGAAAGGGGTTCTTATGTTACTTTGCAGAATCTGCAGAACCTTGTTGGAGGCAGAATGAAGTTTTTGAGCTGTGCTAGGAAAAATGCTGTGTGTAAACGACAAGTCTGTGGGTGTAGTTCAGGGGTAGAGTGCTCGCCTGGCATGTGTGAAGCCCTGGGTTTGATCCTTAGCACTGCAAATAATAATTACAATAAATCAATCAATCAATAACATATTTCCCTTCTGTCGATACAAGAACACGGAACTGAAACCAGGTATGGCAACACACAGCTTAAAATCTAGGATTTAGGAGGCCAAGTCAGAAGGATTGCTAGAAGTTCAGGAATGGCATGGGCTACATGGTGAGTTCCAGGCCAGCCTGGGCTATAAAGTGAGACTGTGTCTCAGCAACAAGAACACTGAATTTGTTGGGGAACTGGGCCAAGTGAAGCAAATAAAAGAGCAGGAAAGTTAGTCAGGACTTGGCCAGATTCTGCCCCGTTAGAAGACAATCCTGGTTGTGGCAGGAGTCCAGACAGCAGCAGAATGGAGAGACTGAAGGGGAGGCCCCCTGGGGCAGAGGGACCATAGAAGACCTGCAAGGATTTTGAAATATGGCAATTTCAGCTCCGAGGTAAGATTGAGTTCCCTCTGCACCAAAGCAGAGACTATCCCTGTAGCAACTGCCGAGAAAAAACATCTGCACCGAGAACAGCAAGAAATCCCCTGGGATGCCAAAGGAGAAGATGTTTCTAGAAAAGCAACCACATAGCTCCATGGTTTGCCAAGAATGTTCGAACAGGCCATTAAGACAAAACCAACCCCAGGAACTCGGTTGCGTGTTTCAACAGCTCTTGAGCCATTCTCTGCAGCCTGCCCCTCTTACTAGTAACACGAGGCTTTGGTCTTTGTTCTCTTGGGCTCTGACATCTTCCCGGAAGCTGTTGCTTACAGCGGATCAGACTCTGGGACCGCAGTCTTGCGAACTGTCCTGTGCTTTTGACAGGCATGGTTACGATGATGGCTACTCAACCCAACAATGCTGCTACTGTTCATGTTGGGTCTTTTTCTAGAAACTAGCAAGCTGCTTCATGTCTTCAGAAATCACTTCTACCCTCTCATTTAGAACCATAAAAGAAATGGGCATTTATGTAAGATCTTTCCAACCACGAGCTCAAAGGCCGACCATGGGGCTACAGCTCAGTTGGTAGAGTTCTTACCTAACATGCATGAAGGCCAGGGTTTGATTCCCAACAGTGAATACATTGGGCATGGTGGTGCACACCTATAATCCCAGGACTCAGGAGGAGAGGGTAGGAAAATTAGAAGTTCAAGGTCATTCTAAGCTTCCTCGTGAGTTAGAGGCCATCCCAGGTTACAACATGAGATCCTGCCTCAAAAAAGGTCAATGATAACAAAAGAACTCTCACAGTCTCAATTTGGTAGACGTTTTCTTATGATGCGAAGGACTGAACTCAGGGTCTCACACATTAGACAAGCACTATACCACTGACAAGACAAACCCACTAGAGCCCATGGAATTTATCCTTTGAGTCTAACAGCCTCTTAAACATGCCAGCTGCAGCTACATCTTGCAGACAGCTTTCACCTTCTAGAGGCATCTTAACGTTATTAATTAATTCAGACTGCTACAGTGGCACCCCGCGCCAATGGCTTCCACGACAAACACTGATTTCTTATGGCTCTGGGGTTGGGAAGATCAAGATCCAAGTGTTGTCAGGTGTCTGGGTCTGACCTGTTCCCATGATTGCAAGTAACGATCTTCTGGTTCTGTCTTCCATGGCCAATGGCGATAATTACTTTTCATAAGATAATGACTCGTCATGGCCGACCAGCCTTATCACCTAATCACCTCCTCACACAATCATATTGGAGATTAAGACTCGATCTGTGAACCTGGACACTCCACAGACTCAGAAATCTAGAGAGTGCCTTTAAAGCCCACCATCGATTATCTTTCCACCTGGGTTTTAAAACACTGCTCAGCCTTAGGCAGCTAGTCATCAAGTTCTTTATTTCTTGGGGAAAGAGAGGCTCTTAGAAATTAGAGCCAACCACTTTGTCCTTCTTCCACTGGTCCCTTCTCTGTTAATTTGATGCTCTGGACCTCTACAAACACAGAAAACGCCCTTCAAGTGAATGTGGGGTTTCCATTAGCAAAGGCGCAGGGGTGGTTTGTCTCCAGGGAGTGCTCTCTCAGCAACTTCCTACCACCTTATGTTTCTGCTCTCACTTCAGTACTCAGTGCCCTAATACCCAGTACTTCAGTGCTCAGTACTTCAGGACCCAGGACCTCGGTATCCAGATACTCTCACAGATTGCTCTCGGGTTTTGTTTATTTTCCTCAATGATTCCAAGCAGCAAAGACCTGTAAAAAAAAATAAATTAATAAACGTGAAATTTCCTTCCTCCATTGCATTTTCACAAAGATCTTGTAGGGGTGAACTAGGCTGTGTGAATCTTCCTGTTGCCTTACTTACTTCAAGTAGGCAGTAGTTCAACTCTGCTGAGAAGGGGAGAAGCAGGATTCCAAACCACCGAGATGCCTCTTCTGCAGGCTCGCCTTTCTTTCCCCAGTGCGGCCTCAGCACCTATTGGAAATTTTCTTATCACACACCCACCCCTTGAACCTTCCCTGGAGAGATTCCAACTTTTCGGGTTCTCACAGAATTGCCACTTCATGTGCCTGCTCAGGGATCTCCTCTCAGAAGAGCCCCTCGTTGAGAAGATAGATCTCAAGCCAGGTGTCAACAAAGAGGCCTTTTCTCCAGCCAGGCCTGAGCCACCACTTCCTGCTTTGTTGAGGTTTCTGTGAAATGTGGCTGAAAGCACTTAATATGGGATCCCCCACTAACGTGCTCATCAAACCTTAGGGGAACCGAGTCACCTTCGTACCTGCCAAGGATAGTAAAGGACCTCGAAGAAAGGAGACTGAAAATACAGCAACTGAGGCAGGGAAATGAGTGCCAGGAACTATGGGTAACATCTCCGAGGTCCTGAGATGGGAGAGGGGAAAATGAGACAGCATTATGGGTAAGTGAGTTCCACCGCCAAGGAGACAGCAGGCTCTCCCAATCTAGCTTCCGATGACAACCAGCTCCCCATGTATGCCTCAAACACCCACACTGGGTTTGAGGTAGGGAGACAGCCATTAATCACCCGATTGCCAGGAGACTCTAGAGTTAGAACTGCCCTCTTTTCAGAGTAGACTAAGCAAGGATGCAGGCTCCATTGTGATTTTTTTGGTGAGTTGTACTTGTAGGGGATTTATACATGCCACCTCCAGCTTAACAGTCTTCGCTATTTTAAACAGCCATGGAAAGAAAAAGGAAGTGACGCACCAGGAGCACGAAGGTAGCAATGTTCAGATCCCTGATGCAGCTGGTTTCAAAGTCCGCTCCTACGTTCTCTGGGTGGTTTGAATTCTATTCCTCTTCTCCCCCTGCTTAAACTCCCTCTTATTAAGAAAACTCTCCTCCTCTGGCTGAAAGCACCTTGAGATTTGATACAAACACTTGATACAAACACTTGATTTCCCGTGGAAAAATTCTGCAGAAAGGGGGTAAGCCATTAAAATGTTTGTCATCAATGTGATTCTTGTTAGGAACCAGCACTCAGGAGGCAGAGGCAGGCAGATATCCGTGAGTTCGAGGCTGGCCTGGTGTACCAAGTGAGTTCCAGGACAGCTGGGGCTGTTACACAGAGAAATCCTGTCTCAAAATAAATAGAGAGAGAGAGAACTTGCTACGTGGGAGTTTTGATGATGTCGGGTTAGAGTGGAGGGCAGTCAAAAAAGTGAAAGGAGGAGGCAAGTAAGCAAAGGGGCAGAGAGAAAGACCAATGCAGAAGGGGGGCAGGAAACCAAAGACGGCTTCGCTCACCTCCCACATTTTTCCAGGTACAGTTCTACCTGGGAGACGCCTTGCCATATCCAAATGTTCAGAGAGGAGGAAGCAGGGAAAGGAAATGCTAACCATGGTGGAGCCAGAGCAGGGGCAGAGATGGGGTAGAAGCGACGTTGGAAGCAATTTTTTAAGTAAAAAAATGGTAAGTGATGGAGAGAAGAGCCGGTCGCGGGGAACCCTGAGAATGCTGGACTGCCGAGCAAGGGCCTCTCTTTCTTCACTTTTCTTTTTCATTTTCCTTTCTTTAATTTCGCTGCAGCACGTATAATCAATTACAGACTGAATCGGGATAAAGGGAGGGGAAGCACTTTAATTCATAAATCAATTTTACACGGTCATCAGTCAGGTTGTGAATGCAAATACCTCTGTCGTTTTTAGGTTATTCAGAATTAATTGACTCCCACCGGGCTGGGCTGCAGATGGAGAGAGGTTTTCTCACAGTCTTCTTGGGCCCAGCATGGGGGCACATGACTTCGTCCCTCCCCCCCTCTGGACCTCTGACCAAGCCCTTCTTTACTCTGTTGGCTCGCAAGTATGGAGATGATGGCGAGGGGCCGGGAGCTCGGGGCAGGGGGGCGGGGCGGGGAGGGAGCATCCGGCAAGAAGCTGGGTAGGTAAGAGTCCAGAAAGACTGGCGAAGGAAAGGGAGACACAGAAAGATGAAAGCCCCGGACAAACTCTTCAGCTCAAGTCCCGCAGAGATACCTTTATGTGATTAGAAATGCTTAGCTTTCAAGGATCAGCTTTCTAAGTTCTCTGGAGCTTCTTAAAGAAAAAAGAACAACGATTAAAAAAAAAAAAACAAACAAACAAACAAAAACGCCCTGGGGGTTACAGGCGGAAGGAAAATAGTCCAGAATCCACTGGGTTGGAGGGGGTTGTGAAGTTGCCCGGATCTAGCAGCCAAGAAGCAGCCTGGGACAGGGGGCCCGCTGCCCTGCCTCCCAGAGCCCAGGGGGAGTGAATGGGACACCCTTGTCTAGGGTATTTTAGGCCAACAGCCAACGAGATGGCCTTCCTGAGACCCTTCACACAAGGTGGAGAGAGAGTGAAGCCAGGCCATTGAAGGCTGATCTGGGCTGTCCTTGCCGGGTGACACTTGTTGTCTAAGTCCCAGGGTTGTCTACCCACAGAAGTTCACTCTAATTAAGAAAGGACATACACCCACGTATTTGATGTGTCCTGACCTCTACTTTTCCATTTTCTACCCTTAGCTAAATATACTCTTGACTGAGTTGCTCCATCAGACCATCATCATAGTGGTTTTCCACACCACCCTGCCACGGGAGCCCCTGGGAGCTGGTTTTGCTTCCTACTCTGCTTGTTTTTGCACAGAGATGTCTGGGTTCAGTCCTAAAACACTGTTCTGTGTGGTCTCTAGGAGCGCCTGGGGAATTGGCGTTTTTGGACTAGAGTACAAGGGAGTCAGTCCGGTGTTGAACAAGTGCAAGAACCACCGGAGTGTCTGAGGACTCTGGTGGACAAATTCTCAAAAGCCAGCCTCATCTCCCAAGGCCCATTTCCTCTCCACAGCCTGTCAGAGCTTCCTACAGCATAAGGCATAGAATTATCAGAAACAAATCATTGATCCAGAAAGGGGGTAGAGAGGGGAGTCAATCTTAGAAGAAGAACACGTATGTTCTAGATTCCCTGGACTGTACAAGTCAACTCGACTGAAGTTTTTGGAGGAAACAAAACTACCTCAAGCAAACTTCCAGTGAGTGTAGAAACCGCTGAAGAGGGAAATCACACAGATCTCTGTGCTGTCTTTATTGAAAACCAAATCTTAGCTGCCCTGGTAGGCGTTGAATTTTGCTTCCATCTAGCAATTAGTTTGTGGCTTCCACTGAGCCTCTCCTGAGAGACCAAAGGTCTACAAGCCAAAGGACTGTGAGTCATGAAGCAGGATGCTCCCAATACTTATAAAATCCAAACACAGGGTTGTAACCCTTACCGGACCCTAAAAAAATTAGTTGCAAAATTCTGATGTATGATCAGCCTCTGATCTGAGGCACAGTGCCTTATATGCAAATGAGCCATGTTGATTTACTTGTGAAGGCTGAGAGGAATCCTTGGACCGGTTCCTTCAGTCATTCATTTGTGTTACCATCCATTATTGGAAGCAATAGAACTGGCTATCTTTAAGACTTTTCGACCTTCAGGTTGTCGTCCCCCCCCCCCCTGAAGTCAGAGTACACATCCCTCACAAAAGTCTGAAGGTCTTGGTGGCTATGAAATCCCCATTTCCTCTTAATGTATTTAGCCAGCAGCAAAGAGAAATTTGGGGAGAGATTGGTGCTGAATGAAAAGGCACCGTGTTCATAAAGTCCAGGGATTCCAAAGTAGATAATCGTAGATGTGCAAGGGGATGGGGTGGTAGGGGGATCCTTAGCAGTTAATGCAGCATGGTAAGGTGATTACAAATCCAAGCTTTATAGTCAGCGCTGACCAGCTCCATCACTTACATTACACAAGATACATAATCTCTGTGCCTCCGTTTCTTCCTCTTGAAATAAGACTATCAGCGGTGCCTACCTCACGGGGTTGTTGTGAAGATTTGTTGATGTAAAGCAGCCACATAAATGGCAGGATGTGTTTGCAATGAGGGGGGTCTGAAGACAGGTTGACCAGAGGGTCTGACTTGGGTCTCCCAGTAGCACTGACACCCTCTCAGAACCCCAAACATGCAAATCTGTCCCCGCCCTAGACTTAGTGAACAGAACCAAGGCTGGGACCTACAAGCCTGTTTCTTGAGGCTTTTAGAGGGTTCTAATCCATACAGCAGTTAGAGAACTGCTGACTAGGTTAAGAGCTGAAGGCCAAAGCCATGGAAAGCAGTAACAATCCACTTGGAGTTAAAACGGGAGAGCTTGGACTTCTGCTGTCGTGGGAGCATGAGCTGGGGGCCAGCCCTGGAGGTGTGAAGAAGACAGGAAATGCCAAGGGACTGCATCTGGAGGGGCCAGCCAAAGGAAGGGTATCTGATAGCAACCGTCTTGTTTGTCATAGACAGCATCTCACTAGAGCCCGGTACCCAGGGCAGCTTCTTTCTCTCATACCTTTAGCCCCTCACACACCTAGACTCCACGGCCCACCGGAACATCTGATCTTATGTGAACATGACACCTCAGCCAACTGCATCACCCACTCTGTCAGCGAGAGCAGAGAATCAGCAACTCCTCGCTAAGACTTTGTGCAGAGGGACCCCTTGTCGGAGAATGGTGAGAGAAGACCACAGCAAGCTGTGTTGCTTTGAACTGCCGGCAGGGAATCGGGCATTTCCCTACTCTTCCAACAAGGATTTCTAAGGGCCAGAGAGGAGAGAGACAATCTGGAGTTAGTTGGGGCTGGTTAGGGTGTGTACTGCTCTTCCAGAAGACCCAAGGTCTGTTCCCAGCATGCACACCAGGATGCTCATAACTGCCTGTAACTCCAGCTCCAGGGGATCTGATGCTCTCTTCTTTTCTCCATGGGCACCTGAACATGTGTGGCACATATACACATAGACATGGACACACATAAATAAAAATAAATTATAAGAAGACTGCAAATCATTTGTGTGAAAGGAACCTTAAGAGAGCCTGAAGGTATAGTTACTGTAGTGTTTGCCTTTATGGATTCAATCCCCAAAATGGAAGGGAGGGAGAGAGGGAAGGAGGGAGGGACGGAGGGAGGGAGGGAGGGAGGAAAGTAAGGTAAAGCCATGGCTGATATCCTTAACAAAAAGCAGATTGAAAAAAGAAAAGCCCAATACATCGACTCGAGCATTATGTGGCACAGGAGCTTTCTGAAATGAAGACTACACCCATGGAAAGCCATCCGAGCATTTAGGTTTGATGAGGAATGGGCAGAACTATAGAAGTGTGCCTGGATTATGATCTCACGGTTCCAGCTGGGAGACAATCAGCCAGCTTGCTCGGGTTCTTCTTGGTGGCTTCCGGTTTTTAGTCCTTTCCTCCAGGCACAGAGCAGGACACCTCTCTCGTCAAGGTCTTGTAGACACTTTCAGGAGGGGTAGCTGAGAGAACTGGTTGATGACTTCCTGCAGGATGACAGGAGACGGCCTGTGAGGGACCCAGTGGCCTTTGTAATGCTCTGTACTCGCTAGTGACCCCCTCAGCACAGGGACACCTTTTACAAACCACTGGAGAGGATCTCTTGGGAGCCAGGCATGTGACAAGACTCTGAAGGGGGGAAAGAGGAAGAGAGAGGGAAAGAGAGAGGAGAGAAAGAGAGACAGAGACCAAGAAACCCCAGGCTCAAATGGTAAGAAGAAAGCATAATTTACCCCCATTTTTCAACTCTACTCAAATTTGAGATTTGAGGTTCAGCAAACCATTGGAGTACAAATTATTCATCCCATCTCCTTTACACACATACATGCAGAACTTGCACACGCTTGCACACACACACACACACACACACACACACACACACACACACACACAGGAGCAAGCATGTCCTGTCCTACCTTATTGGAGGATTTATTAAGGCAACTCCATGTAGTTAAAAAGGAGGTTTATTTTGGGGGACAACTTACAGCTAGTAAAGGGGTTGATTACAGGATCCAGGAGAGGTGAGGTGCAGTCCAGCTGGGTTCTCAGAAGAACTCCGCTTGGTTTACCATCCAGCTTCCAGGATCACCAGGAACCAAGAGAGGCGGTACATCCCAATCTCGGGTCCTAAGGTCTCCCATCTAGGCCCCGCCTCCAGGGCGGGTCATAGGTAGGCATGACAGTAACCGGAAGCCTCACTACGGGTAGTACTTCCAGGTCACAGCTGGAAGAGCTACCCACTACCCTCCCTGTCAGGGAAGCCTCGGTTTAGTTAGTACCAGCCCTGCTGGTACTTCAGTTTTGATCACACGTATATTAGAAGTTAATTAAAGAAACAAATCCTAGCAATGTCTGGAGTCTAACCCAACTCCGCCCCAGCCTCCTCATGAGGTGGGGTGAAGAAGCTTGACGCAGATCACATTTCCTGTGAAACGCACAAAGACTAAGAGAGAGGAAGGACTGAACAAAGACATTTTGGGTTTTTTTTTTTTCTCACAGGACTCATAAAACCCTTTTGATCGCCCTCTCAAAGCTCATTCCCACTTGGTCCCACCCACCCTGGACCTGCCCTTCCAGTCTCCACCTGAGTCTCCACCTTGCCGCCTTCCCCCCTGGGGAGATAGGTCACAGCAGCCTCGCTGAGCCCTGATGGCTAAGACACAGGGCTCCCTCCTGCCAGCCCCGCCGGTCGCTTCCCTCTGTGGGACACTCCCATTCTGTCTAAATGGCACCGAATTATGGCTGGGGCGGGAGATCCTGAAACATGCCCACTTTCTCCCTGAGACGCGACCTTCGATTCCTCCCAAGCCTCTGCTACTATTTCTTTCCCAGCTCAGTTCTGAACAACCAGATGACTTTTGCCAAAGAACCACAGCTGGTTCATTCGGACCTCGGTAACAATATGAAAATGACTGAGAAAAAGAAAAAGAAATCCCATCGGTCTTATTTTTTTGCAAACGTTTCTCTGAGGTGCCTTCTGTGCCCTTGTGTTAGTCTACAGTTCCATATTTATGCATTTCTCTCAGCCACTT